GGGACCGGGACCGGGACCCGGACCCGGACCTGGATTGGGGCGGCCGGTGAGGCCGGGGTTAGGGCCCTGCGCCAGTTCCTCCCTGTGAGGACGGCCTGCGCAAAGGCCTGAGCAGCTCTGCTCGGCCTGTCCCCTCCTGTCCCGTATTTGTAGCCCCTTACGGTTCTGTAGCTGGTAGCTTCCGCTCTAGTGCTTGGGTAACTGATGCACAGGCTCCTGTAGACCATGTGAGGTCAGAGCTTGCTCTATTCCTGGGTCTTTTCCAGCAGGATGCCCTACTGACGTGGAGATGGCGGTGTGGGCTCGCCGGCTGTCCCGGGGCTGGTGTTTGCTGACGAGAGCCCTTGCGCCTGAAGTTCCTCACGGGCTGAGGAGTCACAGCAGCAAAACACGGACGTGTCAAGTGTCCTGCCCCCCGGCTTTACTGCCCTCGAGAAATGGCTTTTTTCTGTGGAAAGCGCAGAGCTTCAGGCCTTTATCTGCAGAGAGTTGTGCTCGGCCTGATGGCTCCAAGGATGGGTCGCTTGAGTCTCCCGAAAGCCCTTTGCCTGCACAGGTAGACCAGAAACAAGAAAAAGCAGAAACGATCCCTGACCTGAATGCAGACGTGCTGTATGAAGGTAAGAGGCCTTAGGAATACCCTTCTGAAGCCACAAATCAGGTGTTGAGCGTTGCCCCATTTTTTCACCTTGGTTAACTAGAGTATTTATTTCAGTTTAGTCCTATGCATAATGCAACCTGTGGTAGCTCTAGGAAATAAAGCGCCTTTAAGCAGGGCTGGAATGATAATCAGCTGGGTGGAAATGTCCTGGAACAGCAGCTCAGAGCTGCTATTTTTGTACCCCTGCCTGCATCGTGCAGTGTTGGCCACTTCTCCTGCTGGTGCTGGTACAGGGGAAGGGCAAGGGGGTTTTGAGCAGGGCTGGAGGAGGCCGCCAGAACTGCCAGGGCAGCCAGCTCTTACATGTCTGCACCTGCAGTGCAGTTTGGTTTTGTGCCAGATTGTTGTCTGCAGGCAGACTAACAGTTCTGTGGGTGTGTTGTTACCCATGGAAGAAAAATGATTGCTAGCTCCTTTCTTAAGATCTGTTTCCTAATAGGAAGCTTGAAGGATGTGAAGCTGGAAACAGTGCATCTGTGCTACCAAAGAGGGTATTGATGTATATTGATTTGGACCTCAGCAGCTTAAAGGAAACGTTTCATATCCATATGGATTCCTAGAGAGAGACTTTTGCTGTTTAAGGGGTAAATGTCACCGAAAATATTTTACGGTTTTTCCTTTTTAGTGGAGCTTTGAGGAAAAGATAGGCTAACTCAACCTCTGTGGTGATGGCTCTTGACAGTTCTTCTGTGTAGTTTGTTTTGGTACAGTAGATTCTTCCTGCTCATAAGAGCTTGTCGTGGCAGTTGTAATTTATTTTTGCCTTTTTGACAAGGAATAGTATTACCCTTGTCTCTCAGAAGCCCTAGTTGTTATGCTAAGGACAGAGAAAATTCCCATCCTAAAGAGTTTATAATCAGGGCTGTTGATTAGTTGCTGGTTTAATAGTTGAGGTGAATACCGTGGGTCAGCCTGCAGAACAGCAAACTTGATCTAGCTTCTGCGAGCTCTTGGAATAGGTAAGCTGACTGTTTTTAAGAAAAAGAAAAGGGATTGAGTTTTGTGGCTTTAGACACTTGAGGGAGGGGGAAAAAAAAAACATAACGATGCTCATCTGGAATACCTTATCGAGTAGGACATGGAGCTTTCCTTGAGTAGGAAAGTTTCTTTAACTGTCAGACGTGGTGGGAATCGTCTGAGACACTCATCTCAGAGATTGCTCAATAGGAGATCGGTGTGAAGTATCTTGAAAGTTAAAACAACAGCAATTCAGGCATCTGATTCAGAAGGAGAAGGAGGTGTTATGGAAAACGATTTTGCAGTAACTTTTGATCAGGCAAGAATGTATTTGTGAAGATACACAGAAGACTGCTTTTCACAAGGGTGATATGATCCGTGGCCTGCAGTGATCAGTGAAGAAACAGGCTTGCTGGGGAACTAAGTTCAGTTTTGGTTATGTGATCAAGAGTTGATAGGCAGTGACAAGGAGATGTGGCAGAGACAAACTTAGACTTTTAGCTTGTATAGAAAGAGACACATTTGGGACTGAAAAGTAGCAGCAGAATTTATGCTTTCATGTATTTTCAAATGACCACATACTGGCTGTTCTTGCAGAATGTCTTTGTGTTTTTGAGATGGAACTGAAGACATCTCTCGTGTTGGGAGAAGTGACTGTGCCTTTCACAAAATGCATCTGACTCTTCCCTCTTTATTTCTTAGACTGGGATGACATCCAACCCTCATCTGCTTTGGAGGAGATATCTGAGGAAGAAGCTGTAAAGATCACTGCAAAGCCACTTCTTCCCTTCCAGTCTTCCACGCTCCGAGATTATGTTGACCACTCGGAAACCCTGACAAAACTGGTGCACCTAGGTATATGTGGTTTTGTTTAGGTGGTTAGCCTACACCTAGTGCTTTGCATTTTGAGCTTACTGATTCCCTTAAGAACTTGAAAATTGGAGGAACAGTGATCTACAGCCAGGAAGGGCAGTGCAATGATGTGCAGGGTAAATGGAAAGAGGAGGGGGTATGACTCACTAGCAGAGCCATTTAGTTGAAGACAAGGTAGGCTCTTAGTCTTGTAGGTGCTGGAAAGAGGCATCTCCCACACTTCTAGAGGGGTAGAGAATTCCTGGAGTGATTTGACTGATCTCTCTTCTTTTTGTCTGAGTAAGGATGTTTTCATTTGCTGCTAGTGAAATTGCAGCTCTCTCTTCCAGAAAGGAGGGAGAGCTGTTCTATGCAGAGCCTCCAAAGTGGGGTATAGTAAACTGGGAAGGAGAGAAGGAAGGAATGGGAGAGTACCTTAGTGTTCAGCAAAAAGCATTTGGAATGCACAAGAAGGTTAGTTGGGATCGAGGCTATTGGCCCCTTCCTTTTTCCCAAAAGTGCAGTGAAATATCAGAAAGAGAGTGGGGAAATCTGAACCAGTCCATTAGCAATCACTTTGTGAGAGCCAGTAACCAACGGTATTTACTTCAGGACTGTTCGCTCATGTGATGGATTTGGGAGCTCTTGCACTTCTGTGCAATAAAAACAGATCTCTGCAAGTGGCAGATTGTAGTGTGCTTGATTGCTCACATGGGGGATTTGCAGCAGGTAAAACAGTTTCCATGTTTTATCTGAATCTTTCCACAGTATTGTGACCTTGCGATGTTGAGCAAGCGATGTATGCTAAATCAGTGAGGAAAAAAAAAAAAAAAAAAAAAAAAAAAGGAGCAGCCCTATAAACTTCAGCATGCCTTTCTGAAATATTTGTAGGAAATATTACCTGTGCATAATTGAAATAATATCTGATGGTCTTTGTTGTAGGAGTTGATTTATCCCAGGTGGAGAAACGTCAAAAGGCAGGCCAGCTCTTACTGACTTTGGACTTTGAAAAAGACATAAAAAAAATACTTCTGTTTCTTAAGGATGTGGGTGTAGAAGACAATCAACTGGGATCATTCCTGACCAAAAATCCATTCATTCTTGGTGAAGATCTGGAAGCCTTAGAGACCCGGTAAGCTTTTAAAATAGTACCAAGCTCTTAAACCTGTTGGTTCAAGATCTAGTTTAACAAGTGGCTTAAGCCTGTCTAAATCTGTGTTGCTGCTGTTTTCTTTCCCTCTTGATCCATGGCTTCAGTCCCTTCCCGTGGCTTCCCTTCCCATGGCTTCCCTTCCCATTAACGTGTCATGGTTGCGTAGTGAGTTGGCGTGAATTCCCTGATCCACCTGAATATCGACCACTAACAACATTTTCTGTGTAAGTTTTGGTCAAACCAAACAGTTGCATGGTGCTATATGGCCCTGTACTGTTAGCATCTATGCAAAGGATGAGAAGGAACATACTTCAGGAAGGAGGAATACTGGGATAAGACCATCACTTTTGGTGGCAGCTTGGACCTGAATTAGCAAGGAGACTGCTTCTGGGTTACTTAGTACCTAACATCTCACGTCTTGATTAGCCTATCTTTACATATGTGTTTGGAAGAATGTTAGGTCTACTACTTAAATGTGCTAAACTCCTGGATGTGGGACTGTTTAGCCACCCCTGTACATGCACTTGCCATGTGCTGTTATTTAATTAAACTATGCAGTAGGGTGGGTGGCAATGGGAAGATTGCTGAGAGTTTTGAAGAGCCAGATTTGTTCCAGCAGCTGAGGAGCTGTCTGGGGCAGGGGCTGTGTCAGCTCCTGGTTGAGTATAGAAGGAACAGTGGGAGACATCAGTAGTGCTCTGGATGAGAAAGGAAGAGTAATATGCCTTGATCAACACCAGCCTTGCTGGCGCTTACGCCCTCCATCCCCTTCGGTGCCGTTTTGAGGAGCCTGGATGCTTTTGAGCTAAAGGGCAGAGGGGTGACGCGTGGCTGGATGGAGCTTCTGCTGCTGCACAGGAGAGGAGGGTCAGGGAACCTGGAGAACAAGTCTCCTTGTCTGCAGTGTCTGGAGGCACAAATATTGACGGCTGCTTCTCCGCACGATTCCCTCCCTCTGGATGTACACACATGCCAATATTTATGCTGCAGCAGGATGTGTTCTCCCATCAGATGCCCCTTGGTGGCATCGGGGTGAAGATGGGCAGTTTAAGCTAACGGGGCTGAGCCCTGTCTCTGCCACAGTCAGGAAAAGCAGCTTGCCAGCCTGGCTGCTTGCTTTGCTCCCAAAATGATGGTCCCCAAGGCTTAACGGTGTGAAGATCCACATTAACCCCTCATTTACTGTCATGCTTGACTGTACATATAGTGCTGCACAGGAAATGTTGATAATTGGCAGTAGTGTTTACCCTTTGCCAGTCACGTTTTAGAACAGCTCTTTTAGATGAAATATCTGCTTGTATCTTGTGAGCTCTGCAGCAAGAGAAGCACAAGAGATCTTTTCTGTCATTACTTATACCAGCAGGAGTGGGTTTTGTAGACATGATTTTCCGCTTCCCCCCGCCCCACACCTCTGTTTTCCAGCTCTAACAGAGCGTGAGACTCTCATGAACTGTTTTTTTCCTGGTGTGTTCCCAGCTGTGTGACATTAGACTGTCACTTAGTGTCAAAAGATACTCGGTTGGTTGGTTTGGTTTGTTTGTTTTTGTTTTTAAAGCTTATTCTATTTTGAGGGTGGAATTATTTATTAAAAACCAAGTCATGGTGCCTGCAGGTGTTTATTTTGAGACTGTAGGAGGGGGAAAAAAGCTGCTTTCCCATTGTACTGGCAATACTAATGCTGCTTTCGTTTTCTGCATAGCTCCCTCCTACCACTGTTTTTTAAGGTATTAAGTCTAGATGCTGTGTAGTGCAGATTGCAGTTAATGCAGCTAATTAAGGAACTCCTAATGACAGAAAATTTTGCCTTCTGAATATAAGGGCCATTTAAACTGAAAATATGTGCTGAAGAAATTAGATATGCATACATATATTCCTCTTTCCTCAGTAGCATGGCTCTAAGTGATGTGATTTGCATCTGAATTTGAGTGAAGTCTGGCTACTGTTTTCATGGTCTTCAGTGTTGCCTGAATCAGGCTGCTTCATGGTGTTGCTCTTCCTCTGCCTCTGTCTGCTAATGCCTCCCAGCAGGAGGGAGGCTTTCTCTTTAATGGCAGTTATTTTATTAACAATTCTTTGTTTGCCCAGATGTAGAACTATAACTGGATAATACTGGTATGAGTAATTTTATGGTAATTTTATAAAGCTGCTTCTAAATTGGAGGCTTAATGATGGTCAAAACAAGAATGTTGAGATGTCGATCTGCCTGGCACCGTGTGAGATGTTCCTGACAGCAGCTCTCCGTCCTCCTGTGTCAGAAGTGACCCATCACCGCTGTGTCTGGCCACACGTGGGTGCAGGACTTAGCTGCTTGGGCAGGGGGCTCACGCCAGGCCGTTCTTGCAGCAGTGCCTGGGGTAGCTGTGCTTGCCTAGCCTGGGTGAGGCCTCAGGCCTGGAACCGTGGCTGTTGGTTCCCTTGCGCCTTCCAGTTGTTGTGGGGTTTTTTTATTTTTTTTGCTTTGTTTTAATGAGATTCCACCTGCAAGGAGGAGGTGGGTTGGTTGGTTGGCTAAGCTGTCCTTCAGACATACTGTTGTTTTAGTTTTTCTTTTACCAATTTATATTTCTTTATATTTGTTTGCCGTGTAGTTCTATTTACATATTTACACTTAGACACCGATACTCGTTTATTTTTGTTTCATGTTTTTCATTTTTCTGATTCATGCTCTCATTAGGTACATTGATTTTATAAATAGAATGGACTGTTATTCTTAAAAATCAGCTCACAAGCTCACATTAAGGCAACAATCTTCTTTTTCAGAACAGCTATTTTTAAGTGTTCTTTGTAATGAAATAATAATAATAATAATACCTTCAGTATATAAAAAAGCCCAAAGAGCTGTGTATGCAATATCTGCCAAGACAGAAATTTGAAAATACAACTTTTGAGAAATAGGCACATTTAGAGATTCACACCTAACATAGGCCTGAACTTTTTTTTTCTTTACCTTTTTCTTCCATCTTCCTATGTAGAAGTAAGTAGTCTTTCAGAAAAAGCATCTGAAAAGAATCTTTATCATTTTGAATATGTGCAAAAAAGTGACAGTAAAAAGCACCCTGAATACAGATTGTCTGAACTGCTTATATTTTTCTTCATGATTTTCTGAAATGTGATAGGGAGTTTTGGGGGGTTTTTTTGTTTGGTGTTTTGTTTTGTTTTGTTGTTTTTCAGCGATACAGTTCTAATTCTCCTGTGAAGTCAGATGTGCTATCAAGTGGCTGTCCTGTGGCACAGTCTGGTTAGTGAAACGGGGCAATCCAATTTATTCTGAATATTCTGCTGATTGATTTCAGCGAGCGTGTCTGTGTTTGGCATTAACAAATGCTTTCCTGCAAAGTCACAAGTGAGCTTCTGCCACAGAGGGTGCACAGGAGGCTCTAAAGTGAATGTGCCTCAAAGAGCTGCCTTCTGAAAGCTGAGTATACCTTTGCATAAGCACTTGAGTACGGATGGACGTGGTATTGGTTACATCACTCTGGAATGTTTTATTGCTGCGGATTCCATGTTGCCAGGAAACAAAACACAAATTTCAATAGATCTGGCGTGTGACTTCAGATCAACACTGTAAAAGTCCCAACATTCCATAATTCTTAACAATTCTGACAGTTGCAAACCAGCGTCTGTACGTGCAGCTGCAGCAGCTGCTGTGTTTCGTGGTGGTGCTGACGGTGGCTGGGAACAGTTAAGGTGCTCTGGGGATCTGCTGGCCCCGAGCACAGCAGGGACCAGCCCTCGTGGTGGCACTTTTGGGCTTGTCACAGAGCTTCGCTGAACTGGTCCCCTGACCGTGTCTCCTTCATATACCCGTTTCTGGAGTCAGGTGGTCACAATCTTGCCATCCCTCTTTCGTTTCTTGCTTTTCGGGATTTCAGAAAAAAAAATACCCTCTTCCTGCCCCCTTTTTTCCCCTCATTGCAAGAGCAAGCATCTTATGCTGGCTGTCTACAAAACATTCTGCAATCTATTTAGTATCCTAATTACTGTCAGATAAAATCAGTTCTTGTATGTCTTAAGCCCATCTGAAACAGATACCTCCATTTCTGCTTATCTAAATCAAAGGAACCTCTTCAAACCGAAGTATAGTATGCTTGTGTATATATATATTTTTAATTATGATACATGGGTTCTCTGCTTTTTCTGTGTTATTTCCCATCCTGCTGCCATTCTTTTTTTTTTCTTATGCTAATAATCTGCAAGGAGTACTTAAAATAGGTTTTCACTTTCACTAAATTCGACAAAGTTTGGGAAAAGCCTTGAGTTGGAAAGAAAGCAATGTCTGTTAAGCATAAAAACCTTGATCAGCTCTTCACCATTCTGACAACCAGATGTTTTGTAACCAAATCCTTGGACCAGTAACTGAAAGTAGGGACCTATTATAACAAAAGTAAGTTCAAGTGATTTGGAAATGTCTTTTTGGATGGTGTCTCTACAGATGGCATTGTATGATATTTCTGCTCCAGTGCTATTGGCAAAACAGAGCTGTATGAGGTATAGTGCTCTGTTCTTTCAGCAGTAGAAATGGAATTCATTAAAATAGCAAAAGGCTGTGTGTATCTTCATGTCCCTAGCCCAGGATGATCTGTTAATGTGCTCGCAGTCTAGGAGACAGGCTGGTAGTTAAACATAGGTTAATATAGTTATCTGCTTAGGTACAGCTGGAAGGAATTGAAATCTGTGTTCAGGTTTGACATTATGCTCTAAGGTTTATTTTGCTTCTAATTAATTGGAAGAGGTGGTATTTTGCTTTTATGATAACTGCAGATTTTCCCTCCTAATTATTTTTGGCAGAGTTGCATGTTAATGCTAGAACATCTGTCCGTTTATAAGATATCACTGAGGAATTTAAGCAAGTACAGAATAAATGGAGGCAATAAAATTTTCATCACTGGATTTTTTTTTTTTTCCTAGAGTGGCTTACCTAAAATCAAAAAAATTTGGTAAGGCAGAAATCGCTCAGATGGTCTCGAGAGCTCCGTATTTGCTGTTATTTTCAGTGGAAAGACTGGATAACAGACTGGGTTTCTTCAAAAATGAACTTGGCCTCAGTGTCACAAAGGTAAAGGCTACGCACACCAAAGATTCGGGGTACTTTGTCAGTGACAGTAGAAAGGCCCTGCAACACGGGGCCTTGTGGCAACCTTCAACGTTTTTATACAATCGCTGCTAAAACAGCAAGCAGCTCTTCAACTTCTGCAAAACTAACGGGCTTCTCATCTCTTCAGGGTACTGCCACACACTACAGTTGTCAGTGGAGAGCAGCGTAGTGAGCAAGGGCCGTGTCCATCCACACACGCAGCTTGGCAAGAGGCACCCTGGGTGTCCTGTCCTGCCACGATCAGTGCTTAGCGCTCTGCTTTGGGACCTCCTGAGGATTTCACTTCCTGGAATATGTGGGAAGGGCTAGTTGTTTCTCCTGCCATAGCTGCTGATGCCCCTAATTAACAAGTTCCAAGTGAAAATTTGAATTCTATTACCTGGACTTGCTCAGATTTTAAAGCCGGAGATGGCTCTGGTGAGGTGTTTAGCCACTATCTTGCAGTCAGGGTGGACTACCAGTACTCCTGGGGTTCTGCAGATGTGGGGCAATTTCTAATATTACCATGATATTATTGTGTAACCAAACTCGAGGTAGAGAAATTGTGTCCAGTTCTGGGCTCCACAGTACAAGAGGGATGTGGAGCTGCTGGAGAGAGTCCAGCGCAGGGCCACAAGGATGATCAGGGGCCTGGAACATCTGCCCTATGAGGAGAGGCTGAGGGAGCTGGGCCTGTTCAGCCTGGAGAAGAGAAGGCTGAGAGGGGACCTGAGCAGTGTCTATAAGTACCTCAAGGGAGGCAGTGAGGAGGATGGGACCGGCCTCTTTTCAGTGGTGGCCACCGACAGAACTAGAGGTAATGGCCACAAACTGAAGCACCAAAAGTTCCACAGGAACTTAAGGAAAAATTTCTTAACAGTGAGGGTGACAGAGCACTGGAACAGGCTGCCCAGAGAGGTTGTGGAGTCTCCTTCTCTGGAGATCTTCCAAACCCGCTTGGACGCAGTCCTGTGTCACGTGCTCTAAGTGATCCTGTGTGTGCAGGGGGGTTGGACTAGATGATCTCTAGAGGTCCCTTCCAACCTTAAGCATTCTATGATTCTGTGAAATAAAATACTGTAGTTAAAAAGATTTTCACAGCTTCTGTTGGGTTGTGTTTCCTTTACTTTAAGGAAGAAATGACCCTAGGCACTGAGGAGGAGTAGGCACTTCAATCTACTTCATGGTTTTGGGGGATGCTTTTATTCCCTCTCCCCAACTGTTTCACATTAGCTGTAATTTTTTTTTCTTCTGTGTCTCAATGGAACATGACATTTGAATAACTTCTTGCTTCTTATTAGATTGCTGTTTTATACAAAACTCATCTTTGGGCCTGAGATAAAACAGAGCACAAGGGAAAGTTCTTGCCCAACTAGAATTAGAAATCAGCAAAAATAAAATGTTAATACAAGATCTGTATCTTTCAGAGACTGTTTCACAGACATGCTTTCACTAATACATTTTTTTTTCCTAATTGTAGACAAAGGATCTGGTTGTTCGTCTTCCAAGGTTACTGACTGGCAAATTAGAACCTGTAAAGGAAAACATACAGGTGAGCTTATTAGTAAGTGTTTAAAAAAACAAACAGAAAAATTTAAAAAGTGTCAGCAGAAGATAAAACTTCCTGTAGGAAAATCTTGTACAAAAAAAAAAAAAGAAATTATGTAAATATGTAAATAACTTAGAGCATTTTGTTGAACCCAGTTTTTTTCCTCAGTAGGAGGCTTACAGCAAGCTTGCAGCACACAAAGAACAATATCTTACTTTATCTTCTAGTCTGATGTAGGTTAGAAACTTCATCTGGAGGCCTTTCTGCTGAAAGCTGCTGTGTGTTGACACAAATGGTTACCCATTTTTCTACAGTGAGTGAAAAATAGAGCCTGCTTCCTCCCTTTTTTAAAAAAATTAATTATTGTGTTTTTTTGCTAACTTGGATTGTCTGGGAGGATTTAAGAGCAAGAAATGTGCAGTCAATTATTTTTCTCTTGACAGGTAGCTAGTCTGCCAAAATGTGCATTTGACACCTATTGTCTGATAGCAGATGGTCATTATTAACAACTGTTGGGTAAATAACTTTGAACCCACAGGGACTCCTTTTCTTTTGAAAATGTAACTGTGTATTGCTTTAATTATCGTGCTGCAAATCCAGCTAGGCCAAACAGCATGATGTAGTGTAACAATATGAGAAATCCCATTATCCTATAATGCGTAACTATGAATTAAAATATATAATTTTCAGACAGACTTACTGCTCTGAAACTATTAAGCACTGGGAATCCTACAATCTGGAATGTGTGTGTGGTAAGGGAGGAGACTGGAAAGTACACCAGGCTGTTCCAATTAATAGTGCTTTCTTTTTAATGAACATTGTTTCCCCAGGGTGGGGATTCAGTATATTATAAAGAATGTGTTTTTAAGACCCTTAGTTCTGTGCAACTATCTTGTCTAACTAGCAAATTCTTATTTTTAACAAATGTTATGGAGAGAGGGGAAAGATTTTTGGGGTACTCACTATTGAAATCTACTGATACTTAAAAGCTCCATCTTCTCTGGAGGTTGGATGTCTCAGACTTGATCAGGATTCTGCCCTGTGTGTTCCCAATTCCACCACCTGGGTTGGTGGTAGGAAAGTGGTAGTCTGCAAGAAAAGGCATGTGCCAGCAGCAATTCCAAACTGATCCAGTGGTATCCCTCGTTCTGAGTGGGCTGTTAAAACTGGAAACGACTGGAAACAACTGCTGCAATTGACATTGGTTGTCAAAAGATACCAGTTGTGGACTAAATGAGCTCGGGGGTAGATTATTCCATCCTTTAAAGGGCTCATCAAGTGCAATTAGAGATGCACTGATACGGTAGAATTGGGAAGTTTGCATTCCCATTGTCTGTGCTAGGAATCAGCTGTCTGAACATGGCTATGGCTTGCACAGTAAGGATATCCGTATGTTATTGAACATTAAATAATTTGCAGTCAAATTGAGAATAATCAAGGTCACTTACACTCCAGCTACGTGTCAAGTGAGAGAATTATTGTGGTCTTGTTTTGCAGAGCAGGATTTCAGGCATGTGGAAAGCTCAAGAGACTTGTCACAATAAAGCCTATGGTAGAGGCAGCTATTTATCTCCAGTGATTTGGCATCAGGGCTTATTCTCTGTTTTCAGTGTAGCGAGTTACGACTGCCAGTTCAGAGCTGTGAAAAACACCTCTCTCTACAAACATCTCTTTATGCTCCACTGGTATCTGCTTATTAATGTTTTTGTGTGTGTGATAAACAAATATTTGCAAAGCAGATGAAGAGGAACCAGTAGCTGAAAGACTTGAATATAATCATCGCTAGAAACAGGCGCTAGTACAGGCCTGGAAGTCCTAAGATAGTCTTAAAACCCAGATACCAAACCCTTCCTTTGGCATTTGCCAGGCAGTCGAGGAGAAGAGCTTTAATCTTGGCAGATCAAAGTGAGCAAACAAAATGTACCACCTTCTTGCAAACTGAAGAAGCACCTAAGTTGGATTTGAAAGCCTGGTCATGTTGACTGCAAGCACATTGGCCTCACAACTAAGAACAAGCTGCTTATAAATGTCACTGGAGGAGAGAAGAAATGAATGAGTTGCCAGACAGACACTCTTGTCTGCTGAATTCCTTTCTCTGCAGCTCAATGAGCTGCACTTTGGGAGGAGTATTCCCGACTTTATTGAAAAAAAAATATTAGATTTTCCTTTTCGGAAAATGTAATTAAAGTCAGGACAGTTTCTGAAAAAGCAGTTCAGGCATTAGCAAACTGTAAGATACACTGAATATACCAGGTATTCTACATGTTCTTTTTTTTTTTTTTAAATGTTGGATGGGCTTCATGTCTAAGACTGCTGGATTGAAATCATACTCATTAATAATAATAAAAAAAGACTTTAATAGATTAGAAATTGCAAATAAAAGTAAAAAGAATAAACTGAAATTTTAAGAGTTTGCTATCGCTGCCTTCTGAAGATAAAACTGTGCTCTTTTGCAGGTATGTCAGATTGAACTCGGTTTTCAACGTAATGAAATTCAACACATAATGTTTAAAACCCCCAAGATTTTAACTTCAAGCAAAAAGAAGCTCAGAAAAATATTTGACTATCTACACAATGTCATGGGCATTCCCCACAATCTGCTTACTCAGTTTCCTCAGGTGAGCTATTAATCTGGGAATAAACTGTAGGTCCTGTGTGTGCAAGTGCTTTACTGGTTCGGTGCCAAAGGAGGATCCTCACTATATTTAGAAAACATGGGTTCTTTGTCTTGTCTGACTATTACTTTGATTTGGATAACTCTTCTTAGCAACTCACCAACTGTTGTAAATCCCGGTTTGGAAGTTTTCTTCATGCACTCCAGGAATCTGAAAACACCTTATAGTTCAAAGGCAAGAAAAGAAGCTTATTGCCATGAGGCACTGAGATTCTTACTGACTCTGCTACTGCAAAGGCTTGATTTAAAAAAAAATAAACACAGGAATGAAAATAGTTGATAGGTACTTGGTAGATTTTTTTCACTTTATTTTTCTCATTTTAGTTATTGCCTCGCAAATGAGGTTGAAAGACTTGGTCACTTAATTGTAGCCACATTTGTGTAGCACCCAGTAACTTTTAAAAGGTTTTAAAATAAAGCACATGCTGCACCTTTAGTACTGCAAGAACTTTCTTCCTTTCTTAAAGGAAAGCTTACAGAGTATCTAACTGGCTAAAAAAGTGATTTATTCTATGGTGAAGTAAGACTGCTCTGCAGGATTTTGATTATTTTGGTATCTGATACATGTATCTTTAAGACTGATGTTTGTAATGCCAGTCTGTGCCTCGCTTTGCCCACCTTCTCAGTTGTGCTGCTCTGGCTTTGTGGGGCTGCACTCTTTATTGCTGCCCTCTTTGTTTGGAGGGGTGAGGGGAGAGATGCCTCCATTTCTCATTTTTGCTGCAGACACCTCTCTGCCCTTCCCTTTCATTCCTCAAATCCAGCAGGCTTCAGAAATGGACTACTACAGCTCAGTCTGCCATATGGCCTGGCCAACAACCTGAAGGACAGTAATACCAGAAATAAGAGGCACCCAGGGTATATTTTGTCAGGTCTTCTCTGCTGCTACAGCTGCTGATCATCACAGACTGTTAAAGTCTGTGAGCAGTGATGAGAAGTTTTCTCTCCCATCCCTTTGCTGACCCGCCCTTAAATGCAAACAGGAAAAATGAGTTTTATTTTCAGTCCCAGTTCAGGTTTGTGTCCATCCCCACATAGTCCTTTCTTCAATAGTGCTGTCTTCCCTTTTTATTAAACGCTTCCTTTCACTCTGTCCACAATTCCTGTTGTCACTATCATCAGCTCCTGAGCAGCCTCTTTCTCTTCAGCTGTGCTGCCCACAGAGAGCAGAGCTCTAGCTCTGCAGTGAGGCTTCCCGCTGTGCCTCAGTGCTGCACGGCACCTGCTTTCCTGTCGCCTTCCCCACACCTCCCTCTTTTCAGGTTTATCCCACCGGCTTCTGTCGAGGTTTCCTTACTGTTGTTCTCGCTTTTGAGCGCAGCTCTGGTGGTGGCAGATGGCTTCAAGGATAAACGCTGCTGTGCTGAAGGCCGGGGTGGTTCTGAAGCAGTGAACTCTGTGTCCTGACTCTGTTAGCAGAAGAGAGGCAGCCCCTTGCTTCCTCTGTTGCCACTCTGCAACTCACCGTTTTGCCTTAGGGCATACAGTCACCTCTCGGTTTCCTCTCCGTAATTCCAATCTAAAGCTACATAAAGACTACATAAAGAAGTATTTCCATCTATATGTAAAATGCATAGGTGTTCCTGCTTCTTGTTTCTCAATGGCTCCTCTCCTCTTTCTTTGCTGTGGTCACACAAAAATAATGCAAATAACTGCTAGCCTATAGGCTGTTGTGCTCAAGAGTTGTATTGTTCCCCAAGTTCCCATTTCAATATAACATGATTTAAATTCTAACCTCTTTCTGATCTTTGACCTTAATGAGGGCAAAAGATCCAGATTGTTTTCTTGCTAAAACTTCAGGCTGTCTGAAAACAGTTGCTATTTTATATTTGCAACCTTCTGAAATTTAGACTGTCTAAAGCTTCTCCTTTTTCTTTCTTTGTTTCTCTCTTAGGTTTTCAACTCAAGATTGCTGCGAATCAAAGAGAGACATTTGTTTCTTAAGTTCCTGGGAAGAGCCCAGTATGACCCAGCACAACCCAGCTACATCTCTCTGCACCAGCTGGTGTCCTTGCCCGATGAGGTCTTCTGCACAGAGATTGCCAAAGCCTCAATGCAGGACTTTGAAAAATTCTTAAAAACACTTTAATTAGTAACACATGTAAAAAGGAATAAACTGAAAGTATGAAATAAACTTATTTTATAATATAAAGCTACTCCCTTTTATGGTCACTTAGCTTCTTAATTACTGATTTAAGTTGTTGCTTATGAAACATCCGTGGTGCGTAATGGCTAAGAATAATGTTCATTATGGTAACTTAAAGTGTGTATTTCACAGGGATTAAGCAAATATGTTGTTTGCTGTTGATGTAATCCTTGAAAGTGAATGCCATTATTTAATTTAGAGTGAATGATACACTGACAGAAAGGTAAATTAAGGTAGATTCTTCTACTTTTCTCTTTCAGAGCTTTGGGAGAGTGAAAAACTGACCAGTAACAACAGCCTCTAACAAGGGTGCTTTTTTATGAGGCCAATTGATGGACTTACTACCCTACAAGCAGTACGATGAAACTTTGCTTGAAATACAAAGAAAAAACAGCAAACTGAATCTAGATAAAAATGAATATATAAAAGGACTTCCTGTAGGTTTCAGGAGTGTGTCTGGTTTTACTTCTATAACTTGATCTCTGCCTCCTCAAGGGAAAGAAAAGGGTAGTTTTGCCCCATCTCTCATGGGATTCATGTGGCTTTGGTATACAAGTTGCCATACAAATTTATCTTGTTCAGTTTTAACTGAAGTAGTTGGTACTGTTAGGAATCGTAAGATTATTGAATGTGGTTAATGTTATCAGTAAATTATATTAATATAGAATTATGAAATGATTCATAGTATTTGAACAAAGTGGAAAAAAAGAGACAATCCAAATGCAAACTGCCTAATAGTTTATTGTTTAGAAGTTTCCATTCTTTCGGTTAAAATAGTTCAGGAAACTTAAATCCAGATGTTGTCATCTGAATTTAAGCGTATTTTAATGAAAATGTCTCTTTTTCTGAAAGCTTAATGTTGTTGATGGCAATGCCTAACAAATTTCATGTAAAGTGGTGGTCTGAGATGCGATGGCCGAACCCTTCCCACCGCCTTGCTCTTAGATAAGATGCATTCTATTTAGTATGTAAGACATTTGCTTAGATATTTCGCCTTATTAAAGCACAAAGCACATTAAGGCTTTAAGCACGTAGAATCTTCAAACAATCTAAAAAAATATTTTTATAGCATAGTGTGGGAGTTCACGGTGCTAAAGACAGTTACTTTCTCCAGACCTGCTCTTGCATCTTTAGCTATCACCATGGCACATGGCGTTATGATTCAAAATGTATTACATCTAATATTTTAATGTCCTAGAGGTTAGGCTACTAACTCCTTTAACATGTTTAAACAGAAACATGATTGCTGTCAGAACTAACCCCTTTCCTTGAAATCTTAAATGTGTGAGCTTCTGCCAAGCTCTTGCTCCTTTCCCTTTTTCTGGGGGGGGGAAAAAAAAAAAAAAAGAGGTTTTATAGACATGCTAAGAGAAATAGGGGAGAGGATAGAAGAGCTTTTGGGAAGTCCTCCCAACTACTTTGGTGCTTTAAGGTGAAACAGGAGCCGAGGTTGAGCGGGAAGGGCCGCGGGCCCTGGTTT